GACACAATGATCACTTTTGCCGATGGGTTGAAGAACTGTTAGGTTCGTGACATCTGACTGAGCTGGGGTGAGCACAAGGTCCAGAATGTTTGGCGTTTGGTCGGCAACAATGCGGGTTGGCATGGTGACGTGTTGAAACAAATTACAATCGATAACAGTCTCAAGTAAAGTAGCATCAAAAGAATCAGGTGGACGACCACAGAGAAGTAGGTCCCAGTCGATATTAGGGGCATTAAAATCCCCCACGATAAGACTGTCCTTTCCCGCGCAGTGCTTCCTGATCGAATTGAGCAAATGAACTCCGGATCCCGATGGCGCTCTGTAAACAACACCAATAGTGTAGGATCTGCATCCATCATGAATACGGCACCACAGGGCATCAAAATCACCGTCGTCGCCACTAGTAGCTGCAACCAAATGGGCCTTCAGTTCGGCCTTCCAGTAAAGTATAACGCCGCCACCGGGCCTACCTCCAAGGCGGTCGGCTCGACAAAGACTGTATCCGGGGATAGAAACCTCTGAATCTATGATGTCTGCAAAAAGCCAAGTTTCGGTAAAGGCCATCAAGTCTGGGCAAGTATCTGACGCAAGCATCTGTACCTCATCAAGTTTATTTCTCAGACTGCGTACATTGGCAACAATTACACGCAGTCCATTCTCGTGCTTTACTGTCCTGGGTTGAGGAGAATTGGCCTCCACCGGGTTCTCGGGGTTCTCCGGATTACGCGAAAATCCACAATGTGGAGGTCTGTCTCACCATTCGCTCGGCGGGACCGGAGCTCATCAACGGCTGTTTTCATCTTAATACGATCTTCCGGAGAAAGATCTCTCAGGACGTAAAAAGGCTCACCTTTCAAACGTGGGGTTCGTCGGAGGATGCGTCGGCATTCCTCTTCGCTTTGGCATACGATCTTGAGGGGGCGTACCTTGGAAGGATCCTCTTGCTTCCTGCCCAGGCGGAAGGCAGAGATAATGTTTATACCTAATTCACCTTCATCGAATAAGATGGAAATCATTCGTTCAAGGAACCCTTGGTCATCCAGCATCCTTTCTGCAGAGGTGTGCTTGGTGGATTCTGGGGCGTGCACAATGATAAGGCATCTTTCACGAGAGGGTGGAAGAGCGCGGCCAGAGATCTGAGGCTGTGGTGACGTACTGTCCTTGATCAACTTTTCCAACTCGTTGACTTTGTTGAGAACAGATTTCATTTGGGTCTGGGAATCAGTTTTCTTGGGTTTGGACTTAGACTTCGCCTGACCCACTGGGACAGAGAGAGTTTTCCTCACCACGGCAGCGTATGTCTCAGTCGTGGGCTCATTGGGCA